CCCGAGGATCCGAGGATGTCTCAAGCGAAACGAGCCTGAGCACTTCGTGCACCGCATCTTCAAGCCAGAGCTGCGAGGACGTCTCAAGCCGAACGGTCAGAGCCACGGAGTCCGAGGATGTCTCAAGCGAAACGTGCCTGAGTACCTCGCGAACCACATCTTGGAACCCGGAGTTGTGAGGATGTCTCAGGAGGAACGGGCCAGAGCACCTCAATTCCAGGCATCTCGAAGCCTGGGGTTCTGAAGATGTTTCAAGCGAACAACGTAATGAGGATGTCACAAGTAAAACGGGACTGAGCATCCAAGTCAAGGCATCCCAGAAGCCGGGGGTGCTGATGTCTCAAGCGAAACGGGCCTGAACACCACGTGAACCGCATCTTCAACACAGAGTTGCGATGACGTCTCAAGCCAAACGGCCAGAGCCAGATAACGAGGATGTCTCAGGCGAAACGTGCCTGAAAATTTAGCGAAACAGCGAACACACAGCTTGGACCCCAGTGGTGAGGGATTCTCGAGCGAAACGGGCCAGAGCACCTCAATTCAGAGCATCTCGAAGCCTCTGGTTCCGAGGATGCCTCAGGCAAAATAGGCCTGAGTTCCTTGCGAACCACATCTTGGATTCCAGACTCGTGAGGACGTCCCAAGCGAGACGAGACTGAAGACATCTAGTCAGGGCATCTTGCATCCTGATAGTGGGCCATGGGGCGCACCCACCTCTTTCGAGAGTGACCCCTCCCTGGCACCTCCCGGGCAACGCCGTTGGGGTTTGCCGGGATCGCCCGAATCTGCCCCGGGCGACCTGGGCATTGGGGCTCAGGTGCAGTGTCCCCCTCGCCAGCCAATGCAAGCCCTGGATGGGGCCCAAACAGCCCCAAAAGCCAACCGAAGTGGCTAGCGAGGACCATACGGCTCCGAAACACACCTCCACCCCGTAAAACGAACGGACCGTTCGAGACATCCTCGCAATCTGGGCGCGAACGGTCCAGTGGCACATCCTTCGTCAGCAGAGCACCAGCCCGCATCACCAGGCACGATCGAGCCCCGTCCAGCCATGGCGACGAGAAGTGTCCTGGGAGCATTGACAACAAGAGCCTTTGCCTGGGCGGCACCTCGAAGCCTGGCGCAGCGATGATGTCTCAAGCGAAAAGGGCAAGGCAACCTCAGGTTACGGTACCCCCGAGCCCAAAGGCTTTGAGCATGTTTCAGGCGATATGGGCCAGAACACCTCTCGCGTAGCGTCTGGGAGCCCAGGTGTGCGAGGATGTCTCAAGCGAAACGGGCCAGACCATCTCAAATCTGGTCGTCTCGGGACGCGGACTTGTGAGGATGCCTCATGCGGGACAGACCGAACCACCTCAGCATGTTGCCAATGTCTCTTACATCCGCGGGCTCCCGCGGGCTCCCAACGGGAGCGAAGCCCCCCACCCTCGACCCTCTTCGTCCCACACTCGCTCCCCCTCCCACCCTCGACCATCCTCCCTTCCCCGATCCTCCTGTTCCGCGTCCCTCACCCTAATTTCGATTCTCGTAATCTCATGTTCTCGTTTCTCCGTTCCTGCTCCGTTTCTCCACGCCTGCTCCGCGTTCCCGGCCCCAGTGTCGTTTTCTCGTTGTCCCCGCCCCTGCTCCCGTTGACTTCGTTCCGGTTCCGCGTCCCCCACACCAATTGTGTTTTCTCGGTCTCTCCGCCCCAGTTCCGCGCCCCCCGCCCCAATTTCGTGGTTTCGTTTCTTCGTTTTCTCCGCCCCAGCTTCGGTTTCTCCACCCCTGTTCCGCGTCTCCCACCTCCACGCCAGCCTCATGCTATTGCTCCATGCCGCTTCGGGCAAATCCTTCTGCCCCAGCGCATTGCTTTGCCTTGGGGCAGAAGAACTGACGTGGAAACTTCTCGCGGGAAAAAAGCACACACACAAAAAAAAAAAACACAAAACAACACAACAGACTGTGTGTGTTTTTTGTATGTTTTTCCCCACAGAATGTGTGTGTTTCCCTCAGTGTGTTTTTTCCCACAGTGTTTGTTTTTGTTCTCCCACAGACTGTGTGTTGTTTCCCACAGTGTGTTTTTGTTCCCACAATCCGTTCGAGACGCGTCGTCCTGGAGTGCCCCGGCCTGGGTCGCCCGGCCGGTGGCGGGGGGCACGAGTCCGTTCCTGCCCGCGGAGGCTCGTGGAAGGTCGGCGGGGACCGACCGACAGGAGTGAACCTGTGCCCATCGGGGAGGAGGTCCACGCCTGTGCACAGGACAGTTTTTACTACATAGGATGTTTCAAAATATAGGATTTGTAATACATGATGAATGTATGAATAAATTGATGCATGAACTCATCATTGTTTTTAATACTGAATCCACGCATGTTTAATACATGATCCGCACGCGCGGAGCACGTATTAAAAACGGCACTGTACCTGGGGTGTCCATTCAACAGCCTGGTGCGACGAACAGGCAATCGCAAGCGTGACCTCTAGCTGTCCTCCATTCCTCATGTGAGCTCAAGAATAATAAAACTACCCTCCTTGGGGCGGAGAGTGCTTCGGCGGCCCAAGGTCGGCCGACGATGACGACGACCGACGACGACGACGAAAAAAATCCCTTGGGTGAAGAATGAGAAATCTCTCGCCGCCGAGAGCGCTATTCCCCGCCCCACGAAATGACGGGGCTCACGTTACCAAGAGCTCCATACCACGAGCGCATGCCAACGGCAAACGCTGCACTCCTTGTCTTACCCTATTGGTCGAGTCCTGTTTGTGATAAATGAGGCTCCCGCTTGCTCACATTCATTGAGCATGAACTCGTGCAACGTATGCCGCGTTCGTCTTACATGACCGCGGGTGCAGCGCGCGTGCCGACGCCAATAGAACATCGAAGCCATGCAGTTGAGCATCGACGTAGAATAGGGGATACGACTTGATGAGGTCGGACATCGAAGTGTTTGATGAAGTGATGAATCGATGCAACGAACGGCGTTTCTTTCTTATGTACGGAATCGTAGGCTCTGTATCAGCGAGATGTGTTGCATGCATCGTCAACTGCGGTATGACATTTTCCATGTGCTTGATCGCCACCACCACTTCACAACGGACCACGTTTTGCAAGCCGACTGCACAAGACATCCTTCACGTTTTAAGTGTGTTCTCTTGGACAGGCGAGAGGCAAATTGACCTGACTTGACTGTACTCAAAAAGAAGCGTTGCACCAGGTCCCCTTCGTTGCACAAGATGGTCGAGCACCCGATCAACTGCTACCCTAATCAACTTTCGGCGCACCTTGCATCACAACCACCGTGCCCCGAAGCACGAATTGGAGCGTCCTCAAGTCCCTCGGGTTCTCCGTCCTCAATCCTGAGGACTGTGGCCCCCGACAAACAAGCTTGATCTGAAGCGGCCAGGGAGCCACAAACCGGAATGACATGACATCGGCAGGCCCAAGACCTCCCCCCACAGCGTCCTAGTCCTCATCGCTCGCCGTAGTCATTCTCCCTCCCCTCCCTCATGCGCGCCTGGACGACGGAAAGCCAGTCGCACTCAAAGGAGCGAGGCAAGCGGAGGACGAACGTCTTCCGCTGCCTCAAAAACCTCCATCTTCCACGAATCATGTAGATCAACTCTTCTGGACACCCGAAACGGGTACGGAAAAACATGGGCACCATGCCCAACGACACTTGTTGTCCAACACCGACAGCTTCCGCTGCTGGGCAAACGGCCGTCTGTCTCAAACGGATAACATCCGCAAGGACACCGACACCATATCCAATTGAAATTGAACAGGAACTGCTGCCGGTCTTCGCACCCATTCTCTATCAACACGGTCAAATCGCATAGCAAGGCTGCGCGGTAAGGATACGTGGTTTTCCAACGGGGTTGGCCGGCGCAAGTCGCCAAGGATGGGCCGAGGGGGCAGGGATGCACTGGTAACCTTGTCAAAATCGCTCATCCATACTTTTGGACGCCCGAAATGGGCACGGAAACAATGGGCACAATGCCCAACAGCAAATGTTGTCCCGAACCAACAGCGGCCGCTGTTTGGCAGGCAGCCTTCTGTCTCAAAGGGACACAATCCGCGCATACGCCGACGGCGAATCCTGTTCAAAATGAACCAGAACTGCTGTCGGTCTGTGTACCCATTCTTTCCGTACCCATGTCGGTCGTCCCGAATACTGTGCGACCCGACTGTACCCATGCGTCGGAAGAAGTAGGTAGAAACATGAAGTAGGAAGGCGGATAGAGTAGATTGGGTTCGGGCCCGCCCAGACAGTAACAAGACGCAGCAGAAGCACATCGGCTCTTGAAGTAGGAAGGCGCTTGAAGTAGATGGGGTTCTGGGAATCCAAAAATACCTACTTTCAACGACCGATGGGTACCCATTCCGATTGTGTCGAGCACTGGCGCGAAATCCCGCAAACGAGAGGGGGGGGGCACGGGCGAACCCCTGACCACGCGACTGGCCATCGCTCGGACGTCCATTCCCTGTGCTTTTTCCGGCTTCGTGCGTGGTTTTTTTCGTCAAATGATCAAGGATGCTCCTCGATGGTCCTCGCCGAGAAAAAATGCACACGTCCGAGCGATGCCAAGGCGAGGGCCGAGCGCTGAGCAGACGCGCGGCCCCGCGCGCGTCTCCGGCGCTCTCGCCACGGCCAGCCTCGTCCTGCGTGCGCACCCGGCGGGCTCGTGCCGTGAGGGCCCTGGTGCTGGTCTCGGACGCCGCGTGGATTCGTTCCACCTTGGAGCGGCCGGCGGCTTCTCGATCGCCATCTCGACTCGGCGGCGTTCAGCCTTGAACGCCTGCGGCGAAGCCGCCGCCGCGCCGATAGGACACAAAGCTGCCGCACCCAGCTTCCAGGCACGGCAGAGCGCACCCCCTGCCCAAAAAAAACAAATTGCACAACCACTCCTCGACCTCCCTCCTCATCCTCCTCCCTCCTCCCTCGTCTCCCTCCCCCTTTATCCACATCCTCCTATCCTCCTGCCATCCCTGGACGCCACGCCCTCCCCCCCGCGGCAGCCTTCTGGTGCCGCGCACGTTCCAATGCTGCGCGTTGGAGGAGTCGAGCTCCTTCGCGCAAGGGTCGACGATGCGCTTGGCCGCCGCCGAGGGGAAGCCATCTGGCGGGTTTCCCGGCAGCGCAGCGGCCAGCGGGGGAGGGGGGCTCGGGCGGGGCTGGGAGGCGATGTCCTGCGATGTCCCAGTCGCCACAGTCCATGAGCCTCACGACACTCCCACAGAGTTCAGGGGATGTCCGACGACCCAGGGAGGGGGACGGCGTCGAGATGGGGGAGGGGACGCGAGAGGGTGGGTGGGTGGAGAAGTGGGTGGAGAGGTGGATGGGATGGGGGGGTGTGAGGGTTGGGGGGAGAAGGCGTTGGCAGGAGTGAGGGGATAGGTCGGGAGCGAGGAGGCGTTGGGAAGAGGGAGGGGGGAGGGAGGAGTGAGGGCAATGAGCGAGGTGGGAGGGTGCATTTAGGGAAGGGGGGGAGACCTCCCCATTAAACCCCCCCTAAGAGGCAAACCCCGCGCCCTCGTCTTTGTCCTCGCCGTCCTCATCCCCGTGCTACTCTGACTACTACTCTCTCCTCCCCGCCTCTCCTCCTCGTCAACCTCCTCCTGCTCATCTGCCTCCGCCGCCGACTCATCTGCCTCTCATCCAACTCGTTATCTTCCTCCTCCTCCTCCTCCTCCTCCTCCTCCTCCTCCTCCTCCTCCCTCCGTTCCCACCCATCTGCCTCCGCCTGCTCGTCACCGCGGATCTCGTCCTCATCATCCCAGTCCTCCTCCCCTCCTGGTCTGTCGCCGCCGCTGCCGCCGCCGTCGTCGTCGTCGGCGGCGGCGTCTTCCTCCTCCTCCGCCTCCTCCAGCTTTTCTCCCACATACTTCTTGTCCTGCTCGCGCATAGGGTCCCGAAAAGTGTTCCTTTAATACTGCTGTTTTTATGTGAAGCGATTATTGTGCTTCGAGATGGTGCTCCCGCTGCAGCGTTGGCTTCGTCTTAGGATCAACGCTATTATCCCGTTGTTTACAATGGCGCTCTCGCCCCAACGCGGGCCAGAACCCCGGACCGGAGTCCTCCCGCTCTCGACCATTGAGTCACCCATACTCCGCATTCCACTGGTCCGCCTGCTCCTCCCGCTCCTCCTGCTCCTGCTACTGCTCCTGCTGCTCACTCCTCGTCCTGTTCCTCCTGCTCATCGTCCTGCTCATCCACCACCCGCTCCTCCTCCTCCAGTGTGCACAGCTCCCCATCTCTGACTGCGCACAAGATGACAAGAGTCCTTGTGAGAGTTCCAGGTCCGCCATGGCAACCGTCGGTGGATAGAAACAAGTCAGCGCAACGGGAAGGAATGGATGGGAGAGATAGGATGTCAGACTTTGCGTAAGCGCGCCTAGCTTGTTCCACGCCCTTCTCCTCCTCCTCCCCCTCCTTTTTCCCCTCCTCCTCCTTCTCCGCTCCCCCTCCCCTCCTCCTCCTCCTCCTCTTCCTCCTCCTCCTCCTCCGCCTCCTCCTCCTCTTCCTCCTCCTCCTCCTCCTCCTCCTCCTCCTCCTACCGCCTCCTCATGCCCAATGCGGCGACACCCTTGTCCTCACCTTCCCCTCGTCGTCGTCGTCCTCCTCCTCCTCCTCCTCTTCCTCCTCCTCCTTCTCCTCCTCCTCCTCATCTCCGCCTCCGCCTCCGCCTCCCCCCCCCCCGGCCCCTTCCTCCTCCTCATCCTCCTCCTGCTCCTCCTCCTCCTCCTCATCATCATCCTCCTCCTCATCATCATCCTGCCCCCCCCCGCACACTGCTTCTCCTCCTCCTCCTCTTCCTCCTCCTCCTCCTCCTCCTCCTTCGCCTCCTCCTCCTCCTCCTCCTCCTCCTCCTCCTCTTCCCCTCCTCCTCCTCCTCCTCCTCCTCCTCCTCCTCCTCCGCCTCCGCCTCCTCCTCCGCCTCCGCCTCCGACTCCGCCTCCGCCTCCGCCTCCTCCAGTTTTGAGGTTAGACCGGCCTTAGCTGTAAGCTGTGGCGTTTAATCCTCCTCATCCTTCTTATCCTCCTCATCCCGCACACTCACCCTCCATAACCCTCCAGCTCCCCCTCCCCTCCCCTCTCCCTCCTCCCCCCTCCGCCTCCCCTCCCCCTCGCCGACCCTGTCCCCCCCCAAAAAAAAACGGATCCCACGCGGCTGTGCAGGCGTCCTGGGACCTCCTGATTTTCTCACGACGCGGACCCCTGGAGGCCTCGGCCCATTCCACGGGGCTGGCAGGGCGCCAAGGTTCTGAGGCCGCTTAGCGGCGCCGGGTCGGCGGGCGGGACAAGCGGTCCCACCCCTGACCCCAAAAACGGCAGCAGCCAGGCGGCGCGCGCGCAGAAGACACGAGGAGTGGGCAGCGGGGAGTCTAACTTTGCTCCACCTTCGTGAATCCGAGTTTGTGCTATCCAGGGGCCTGGCGAGGGCCCCTGGAGGCAGAAAACTGCCAAAAACCGCCCGTCGTGTTTTTGTTCATGACCCGAGGGGGGCCAGGGCCGACCACTCATGGCGCGCGCGCGCGAAGCCGTCTGGGCGGGGGGCCGCCTGGGCCGAGTGCCGGATCCAGCAACCAAGCGTACCTCCGCACGCGCGCGCGCTACGGAGGAGGGACCACCAAATCGAATCCGAGCGCGCCGAACGAGGAGGAGGAGGAGGAGGAGGAGGAGGAGGAGGAGGAGGAGGAGGAGGATGAGGAGGCGAGCTGGGCCCGCGCCGTGAACAGTCGCGAGCTGGACCTCCTGACACCCGCACGCCGTGACGAAATCGCGACGGACTCTCGGCCTCCAGACCGTCACCAAAATCCCTCGTGGGAAGCCGGTCCCCAGGGAATGGGTCCAGACCACTGCGGGGCCACGTTCCGCGATCCAGAATGCACGGCGAAGAATGCTCGGGCCCGTCAGTCGGCAGAGAGATCGTCGGAGCCGGGGGGCACGGCGCCCCCCGTCGCCTGCCGCCCACCCACCCTCGGGGTGCGCCGGGAAGTAGCGGCACTGCGTGGCCCCGCAGGGCTTACCCAGCGAAGGCCCTAGTTTTTGGTTATCTTCGCATGGGGGCCCGCCCCCTTTGGGCACCCCCCTCACACGTTCAGTGTGGTTTGACGCTTTTGACAAGCGTTTTGGGGGCACCAGATGCCCCCCTTACAATGTTCTCGTGCACTGAGCGGTCCTTCTCGTAGTCGCCTCGTTTTGAGAAAGGGTTGGGCTCTGCGCCAGGCTAATTCGTCCTGGATGAATGCCTCATGGTCCTTTGGCCCGATAACGGGCTCCAGAGTCCGAAATGAGGGAAAAACAACACGATTGAAAAAAAATCATATTGTCGGAGATTTGGGGCCCGAGGTAATGAAACCAAAAGGTAACCCTGCATAACTCCATGGACAGCTCCTGGGGTGCGTCCTAATCAGAAGTTTGAGCGAATCCAGCCGTGGCGTCATTGGCCTCCCAGGAGGCGCAACGAGGGGAAAAACAAGAAAAGGGCAGTGGTATCGGCACCTTTTAATCCTCTGACGAGGCGCCCTAACGTCTGGCAATCGGGATGGGAGAAAAATCGCGAGCGGCCATGGCGGGCCCGCACTTGAGGCCTACCACGGGATCTTCGAAGAATCAACGAGCACTCGAATCACGTCCACCACATTCTCAGAACACCAGACCGATGCAGCAAAAGAGGGCTGCCTCGGCCAGAACTGCTACAAGAACCTCTCGTGCAAACCACACGAATCTATTGGATCGGCTACACGCAGGAGTGACCCTCGCGGGGGGACCACACCTGGGCGCGCAAGCCGCTGCTCCTGCCTCGTTTTCAGCCATCTGGGGACCTATCTGTGCCCGCACCAATATGTGCCCGCACCAAAGGTCACTCCGGCGAAAGGTCACTCTTACGCCTAGTCGATTCGAGCAGTCCCTGGTGGGCCCACAGGCAAGCCGGGACGCCTCGCCAGTGCTCGGCGCGCCGCTCACGCAGACGGGGCGCCCGCTCGCGGGCCCTCCCGCCCGAGCCGCCGCGGCCGAGCCAGGGCGGCCGCCGGATGCTGCGGCCACTGCCCGGCTGCGGGGTCCCGCGGCGGCTTCAAGGGGATGGCCTTCGACGTACTTCCGATCCCTCCTCTTCCTCCTCTTGCTCTTCTTCCGCCTCCGCCTCCTCCTCCTCCTCCTCCTCCTCCTCCTCTTCCGCCTCATCCAGGTTTTTTTCTAAAAAATATATGGTGAGCAGCTCCTCCCTGTCGCACCCCCAGACGTGTCGGTAGGGCGGGCCAGGCGTTCCGCCTGCGACCCCCTCACCGTTCAAGACCCTGGACATCGAAACTTGCAACCGTTCCACGGATGCAGGGCGGCTCGTTCTTAAAACGTGGCCCTCGCCGTAGCACCAGGCACAAATGTCTCAAAAGCTTGTGACACCTTCACGGATGGGAAACGGGCCTCTTTCAAAATGTGGCACTCGCTTTAGCGCCGCGCAGATGCGTCTTACAAATGCGCAGCAGTGTCAAGGATTCGTATGGTTGAAGTCCCACGAATGGTGTTCTAGCGCGGTTGAAGATTGTCGGGACGCAGCGGTCACGTCAAATCGCGGTGTTGAAGCCCCTGGAACGGTGTCCTGGCAAGATGCTGGACTGTCAGGACGCAACTGTCACGTTGATTCGCGGTTGTGAAATACCAGAACTTGCGTTCGGGCCCAATTATGGATTCTCAACTGTTTGTCTTCCAACGGAGTGCTCCCCGCAATGAACATTTTTAGGGGCCCATGAGGAGGGAACTTGGATGAAGGGTTCATTGCAATATCGTTGGTGCGTCTTGTGTTTGCACTGGTCGTTCACGCTGGGGCCTCATGCCTCATTCCATGCTTCTCCTCAGCCTCCTCGCACTTCGCACTTCGCACTTCGCACCTCCTCCTCCTATTCCTCTTCCTCCTCTTCCTCCTCCTCCTCCTCCTCAGTCATCCTCCGACTCCTCCTCCGTCCTCCTCCTCCTCATTCTCCTCAATCCTTCTCCCTCCTCCTTATCCTCCTTCACGCTCACTCTCACTCCTCCCTCCCTCCCCCTCCGCCTCCTTCGCCTCCTCCTCCTGCTCCTCCAACTCCTCCTTCTCCTGCTCCTCCTGCTCCTCCTCGTCCTCCTCCTCCTCCTCTCGATCAGAATCATCATCGTCATCATCATCTTCATCATCAGCATCATCAACAACAATATCATGATCATGATCATCATCATCATGATCATCATGATCATCATGATCATCATCATCATCATCGTCATCATCATGATCATCGGCATCATCATCATCATCATCATCGTCATCATCAGCATCATCATCCTTATCAGCATCATCATCATGATCATCATCATCAGCATCATCATCTTCATCATCACCACCATCAGCATCGCCATCATGATCCGCAGCATCATAATCATCATCAGCATCAGTACCACCATCATCATCATCATCATCAGCAGCATCGTCGTCATCACCATCGTCAGCATCATCATCATCATCATCATGATCATCACCATCATCATCATCAGCAGCAGCATCATCATCATAGTCAACAGAAGCGTCATGGTCATCAGCAGCATCATCATCAGCATCATCAACATCATCATCATCATCAGTACCATCATAATCACCAGCATCATCATCATCAACACAATCATCATCATCATGATCAGTATCATCATCATCATCATCATCATCATCATCATCATCATCATCATCATCGGTATCACCATCACAAATCACCATCATCACCGCCACCATTACTTTCACAAGCACCATCATCATCATCAGCATCATCAGCAGCGTCAGCATCAGCATCATCATCATCATCATCAGCATCATCATCATCATCATCATCATCATCATCAGCACCATCAACATCATCGGCAGCACCATCATCACCAGCAGCAGCAACACCATCATCGCCAGCAGCATCACCAGTATCACCATCAGCATCAACAACATCAGCAGCATCAGCATCGTCCTCAACAGCACCATTATCGGTACCATCATCTTCGCACCACAAACATCACCATCAGCATCAGCGTTGCCATCAGCGTCAACACCGTCGTCACCACCCTCATCAGCATCAGCATAATCATCACCATCACCACCACCATCACACTCAGCATCAGCACCACGCTCACCATCATCATCACCATCAACAGCACACGGTCATCGACAACAACAGCAACACCAACATCGAAATCGCCACCACCATTAGCAGCATCATCATCGCCATCATCATCATCAGCATCATCATCATCATCACCAGCATCATAATCAGCATCCGCATCATCATAAGCAGCATAAGCATCGCCATCAACCTCATCACCACCATCATCAGCATCATCAACATAATCACCCGCATTCTCGTCAGCATCACTCATCCTAATCCTCACTCGCATCCTCATCCTAATCCTCATCGTCATCGTGATCATCAGCATCACGAACATCACCATCAGCACTATCATCAACAGCAGCATCAGCATCCTAAGCATCATCATCATCATCAACAGCATGGACATCATCACCATCAACAACATCATTATCATCACCTCATCCTCCCCAATGTTCTCCTCCTCTCTCTCCTCCTCCTCCGTTTCCTCATCCACATCCTCATCTTACTCCTGATCCTCCTTCTCCTTCTCCTCTGGTTTAGCATCCTCCTCCTCATCTTCATGAACCTCAATCCTCTTCCTCCTCCTCCTCCTCCTCCGTCACTTCCTCCTGGCTGTCCTTCTCCTCCGTCCTCCTGCTCCCTTACCTCATGCAACCTGAAAGCCGTCCCGACCCCAAGACTTCTCGTGGAGCGAGTCCTGACCAGGACCTTCCTTGGCAGAACAATCGCCCTGCTCATTGCACAACCCGCCCCGAATTCGCGGCAAGGACGCGCTGCAGTAGAAATCTGGGAGAGAAATTGTGAAACAAGCGAGGAGGAGCACGAGGAGGAGGAGGTACCAGGAGGAGCTGGAAGAGCGGAAGGTGTGAGGGGGATGAGGAGGAGGAGGAGGAGGCGGAGGCGGAGGCGGAGGAGGAGGAAGAGGAGGAGCAGGAGGAGGAAGAGGAGTGAGACGGTGGGAGGAGGTACGAGAGAAGATTGGCGGGGAAGCCAGAGGCAGAGGGGGGTGGTAGGGGTGCAGAACGAGAGAAGGGCAGGAGGTACCTGTCCCCCCCCCCCCCACCAGGCCCTCCCCAGCGCACTTCGCACCCTTGGCGGGAAATGACGGCCTGATCTCCACGTGCCACGTGTCCTGCCCGCCGCCCGTCAAGGAGCTGCTGCAGCGATCCGCATCGATGTCCATACCAATCAATTCGCAACTTAGTACTTGTGGGTTCCGCAGGGCCAGAGGCCTGACATGTTTGTGTGAAACACCAGGGCAGACACCGAATCGCGGCGGGGACAGGATGCGAAGAAGAGGAAAAGGAGGAGCTCAAGTCCCTGACATCCACGCGTCGGGAAACGATCACGACGTGTTTGTTGTAAACAAAAAAACATGTTCGCCGGCCCGACCAGGAGGAAGGAGGAGGAAAAGGAAGATGAGGAGAAACAAGATTGGCACGCACGAAACAAGCACGGAAAAACTGGGCACGATGTCCAGCAACGAATGCTGTCCAAAGCCGACAACGGCCGCTGTTGGGCAGGCTACCTGTTCTGTCTCGAACGGACCATGTCCGCGGCGATGCCGACAGCTAGTCATGTTCGGGATGGGCAGGAACTGTTGGTTTCAATCCCAATTATTTTCGTACTCATTTTGGTTGCCCCGAGAGGACGAGGATGATGTAGAGGAGAAGGAGGGAAAAGAGGAGGAGAGACCCGAGTCCCTGACATCCTCGCGACGCAAACAAAAATTAGCTGGAAGGTTTTTCTGCCTACGGAAGCCCTTGGGTTATCGGGGCCCAAAAACCATCAAACAACGACTCAGGATGACAACGCCGGACACCGGGAACGGGGTCCAAATCTCTTGGGAACCACGCTGCGAACAAAAACAGGAACATCGGAGATTTGGAGATTCCTCATGGTTGCTAGACTGTCAGCTTTGAACCGCAATTCGCTACTTCTGAACCAGGTGGCGGTCGCGGGGGGGAGAGTACAGAGGGTTCGAGTCGTACTGGCATGCGCCTCTGAAGGGGCCCTGGGACACACAAATAAATGCACATACATAAAACTATCCCCTATATTTGTCCATATTTTCTGGGCTGTTGTCTTCCCCCCCACTTCCCATATTTTCCTATATTTTCTGGGTCATCGACGATTCATTGTGTCTGTGTGTTTCTTTCCCTCCTGAGCCTTGGTTTCTGACTATGCGTGGGTCGTTCCACCTCGCGCAACCGCCGTTTTCCGACGAGATCTTTCGGTATCGGCCGACTCTGGGCTACTGGCGTCCTCCGACCTTGACCGACTGCGGCAGTGCCGCAACCGCGCCAGCGCGGCGCACACCTGCCGTAGTAGCTCGGGGAGGAGGGCCAGGAGGAGAGGGAGGAGGGCGAGGCCGAGGGGACGACCTCGGAGGCTCCCACAAATCAGCGAGCGAAGAACGGTATAAAATAAACTTTCCGCCGTCGGGGACACCTGCCCCTTGGCGGGTGGAAAGTTCATACCCCTACGGTGCCACCGTAAGGGTATAAACTTTCCAGCCGCCCAGGGGCAGGCGCCCCCGACTGCGAACAAATCCCACCAGCCCTTTGGGCGTGAGTGGTTTAGAGAGCCCGCTCTGTTCTCAACCCCCTTCTTCCCCTTCGGGGAGGGGTTTACCCCTCCCCCTACCCCCTCCCCCTGGGCCTGGAGAGGGGCTCCCGCGGGTCGCCAGGGGGGTCTTTTTCGACTCCTGGGAGGGTCAAAAAACGACGACCCTCACGAGGATTGTGGCCCCGACGGGGGGGCCGAGTTTGGCCCCTCTCCTCTTCTCGGAAGCCAGAATCATTGATTTTACTACGGTTTTGGCCCCATTTTGGCCTCCTGAGGGGGCCGCGCTCATCTTCCGTCATAGCAGAATCATTGATTTTACAAAGGTTTGGGGCTCATTTTGTCCTTCTCAGGGGGCAGCGCTCCTTTGCGCTTCAGAGGAGGTCGCAAGAGGCCCCAAGATGGCCCCAAGAGGCCCCCCGGAGCCTCCCAAGAGGCCTCCAAGAGGCCCCCAAGAGGCCCCCAACAGTCCCCAAGAGGCCTCCAAGAGGTCCCCAAGAGGCCCCCAAGAGGCCCCAAGAGGCCCCAAGAGGCTCCCAAGAGGCCCCCAAGAGGCCCCCAAGAGGCCCCCAAGAGGCCCCAAGAGGCTCCAAGAGGCCCTTAAGAGGCCCCACGAGGAGCCCGAACGACTCACACCAGGACGAGGGGCCCGAACGACTCACACCACGCAGAGCCCGAACGACTCACACCACAAGGAGGGGCCCGAACGACTCACACCAGGACGAGGCGCCCGAACGACTCACACCACGAGGAGCCCGAACGACTCACACCACGACGCGGGCCCGAACGAGTCACACCAGGAGGAGGGGCCCGAACGACTCACACCAGGATGAGGGGCCCGAACAACTCACACCACGAGAAGCCCGAACGACTCACACCAGGACGAAGAGCCCGAACGACTCACACCACGAAGAGCCCGAACGACTCACACCAGGAAGAAGGGCCCGAACGACTCACACCAGGACGAGAAACCCCAAACGACTCAAACCACGAGGAGCGCTTTCTCTCCCTCCTCCTCCGCCTCGTCCTTCTCCCGCTCCCCCCACAAGGAGGATGTACAAGGAGGCGGGAGGAAGGAGGAACAGGGGAGATATGCGGGGCCAAGCGGACACACGCCTGACAAACACGACTGTCGGCATGCTTCGCGAGAGTTGCTGCTGTGAGATGGGCTGGTGGGGATACGCGAAGCGTAAAGAATTTATGTTATACCGTTCTTCGCCCGTTAAACAAAGATCGGACCGTGCCTTCTCGAACCGACCCGAGGCTGCAGAGGCGGGGCGGGCGCGACCGACGGGCGGAGGATGGGGGACGAGCGGCGGGGGCGGCCTCTCACACGAGGCCTCCCCGCCTGCCCGGCCCCCTCCGCTTCCTGGGCCCCGTCCTCGCCGACCTGGGAGGAGGCGGAGGAGGAGGCCGAGGAGGAGGAGGAGGAGGAGGAGGAGGAGGAGGAGGAGGAGACGAGGAGGAGGAGGAGGAGGAGGAGGAGGAGGAGGAGGAGGAGACGGGAGGAAGAGGAGACGGGAGGAGGAGGAGGAAGGGGAGGAGGAGGAGGGAGAGGGAAGAAGTGGGGGAGGAGAGGGAGGAGGGGGGGGGGAGGAGGAAGGAGGAGGAAGGAGGAGAACGGGAGGAAGAGGAGACGGGAGGAGGCGAAGAGAGGAGGTGGGAGGGAGGGAGGCGGGGGAGGAGGAGGGAGGAGGAGGGAGGGGAAGGAGGAGCGAGGGAGGAGAGGGAAGGGAGGAGGGAGGAGGAGGAGGAGGGTGAGGGGAGGAGGGAGGAGGGGGGAGGCGCCGAAGAGTAAGGGTGCTTTAAGATGAGGGAGGAAGGCCTTCCCGCACGCATCCTTTTTCTCCCAGGGTCCGTGCCCGATGGCCCGACCAGGCGCCCAAGGGCCCACAGCGAGGGAACACGCCGGGACACGAACAGGCCACACCGTCGGAGATCTGGCTCACCGCTGCTTGCGCACAGACGGTGTCGCAGCCGGCGGCCCCTCGCAAAGGTGCGGCGACCACTACGTAGAAATCTTCATTTCTAGAAATGTGTTCTGAGAGGTTCGCAAAAAAAAAAAATCACGCGGGGGGTCACGGCAGCGCCCCTCGCCACGCACCAAAGACATACCCGTGTCCGCGCCACTTCATCGGCCTCGTCCACCTCGTACTGCCTCCTCCTCCTCCTCCTCCTCCTCCTCCTCCTCCTCCTCCTCCTCCTCCTCCTCCTCCTCCTCCTCCTCCTCCTCCCTGCAATTGCCCTGTCCTTCCCCCCATCGCTTGACGCGACACGCCTGCGGAGGCCCCTTGCGAGCACCAACTTGTCTGACCACTGAGTCCCCCACATAGTCGCCCACAAGTCGCCCACTACCTGTCGCCACGCACAATTGTGCTCTTACGCACGAATTCTTCGCTCCACGCCGCCAGGGATGAGGCCAGACAAAGCGCGGACGGAACTATGGACGCATCCTGGCCACTCAGTGGTCCCCTTAGTGGGCTCGTGAAATCTATGGTAGATTCGCGAAAACGCTGTCACTCTCAAACATCAGTGGCACAATGAGAGGGCCCCGATGTCACCCTCAAAAAAAAAGTGGTCCACTGGAGAAACTCCCATGTCGCCCTCGCTCTGGCAACAAGGGCGCCTGTTCCCAGCACCCACTGCCAGGCCACCTTCCAGCGGTGCCGCATCCTAGCATGCGCAAGTAGCCATGCTGCGAGCGCAGGTTCTTCCCTCACTGCAAATGTCCCGCAACGAGCGCATGCCAAATGCGTGGGTTCGTTCGCCACGGCCTAATGCCCTCCTCTCTCCTCCTCCTCCTCCTCCTCCTCCTCCTCCTCCTCCCTGCCACCTCCTCCTCCTCCCCCCGCCTCCTCCCTCCTCCTCCTCCTCCTCCCTCCTCCTCCTCCTCCTCCTCCTCCTCCTCCTCCTCCTCCTCCTCCTCCCTCCTCCTCCTCCTCCTCCTCCTCCTCCCTCCTCCTCCTCTCTTCCTCCTCTCCTCCTCCTACTCCACCTGCTCCTCCTCCTCCTCCTCCTCCTCCTCCTGCTCCTGCTCCTCCTCCTCCTCCTCCTCCTCCTCCTCCTCCTCCTCGGGCACCTGTGGAGGAGAGGCCTGCGCCTGGGCCTGCGGAGCTGGCAGGCCCAGCAACTGCTCGCCATCCGCACGCTGTGGCCGGGGCGTACGCCACGCCCGAAGGCCGCAAGGCGCTGGAGGGCGTTGCCAACTCGAAGTGCCGCGGTTGCGGGGCCGCCGTGGGCGCCGCCGCGACACGCTGTGCAGCGAATCCTAGACCCTGTCTCGGTTCGATCTGTTCCGTAGTCGATCGAGAGTCGATTGAGGAGACGCAACAAAGAAAGTCGGCCCTGGGGGAAAGGGGTGGGGTTATGGGTTTGCCGATATTTGTCCTCACCTACGGCCATATGTGGTGTCCATGCCCCAGCCTGCTCACCCAGCCCACCGACCAGCCAGCCTCGCCCGAGATCCCCGACCCGACGCTGGAGACGAGGCAAAAGCTGGCCGTTCTTGGGACTTCGCGGGATTCCGAATCCACTGAATGTGAGTGCGGCATTGCCTCCGTGCCGCACGCTTTTCTGTGCCGCCAGCTGCAGCAACGTTGCCTGTTCTGCTCTGGGGAGATTCTGCTCCCGACCGTTGGGGCCCCGAAGCCTGCACAATTGGATCGGGCCTCGAGAACGCCATGCTAGAGGAAACGCGTTGTGGCTATCAGGCGGTGCAGCTAAACGACCTCCTCCCTTCGCGCCATCTACGGCGCTCCCCCGTGCATTCAGACGGTCGGGAGAGCCGAGAGGTGGGGTGACCTGGGCTTGCTGGAGGACGCCCCTCGCCGCATCTGGCACGTCTTTTCGGACCTGCCGTCGTTGGTGGCGGATGGATCGTCGCGGGATCCGTCTGTCGAGTCGGCGAGGCGTTCACACGCTGGAGTCTGGCGCAACATGTTCAAATGCGCAGCCTTCAGGTCCCGATGTTTCCTGGGGCCCCACCCGACAAACCTTGGGGGCCCTGGGCCAGGGGATCCCCTTCAGGCGGTGGGTGGGAGACTTCTGGGCCGACTGGTTCGCGAACCTCGGGCCCACCAACATGCGGTTGACCGTGGCTTCTGCGATTCGCTGTCGGCCCCGCTCCACCGGGCTCGCGTCGATGTAGAGTTCGTGTCCTGGTCCGGTGTCATGGCGATGGGCCTGGACCTCCGGCACGACGGGCGAACTGCCACCAGAAGGACGCCTCCCGCCCTGGCGCCCTCGAGTGCTCTCGGCGTGGTGCCGACACGACTCTGCGTGGGTCGTCCTGCGTGCGAAAGAGCGGACGTGACTCTTGTTGCGCCCGCGTCTCCCGCACGCGGGCACTCGGCGCACCTGCTCCCTGACAAATGCTCCCCCTCTCCGACCGGCAGGTGGAGCTCACGGCACGTCTTCCTGCCATCGGGTTTTGGGGGGCCGCGTTCGGGGCACCGCGGCTTTGGGGGTGGCCTCGGCGGCCGCCGATGGGGTCCTGGGCCGATCGTGCCGGCCCTCACGGAGGGCCGGAATTCCTCGCTCGAGCCTTTCCGTGCGAAGAGAGCAGGAATTCCGCGCTCGAGCTTTTCCGTGCCCGGTCCTCACGGAGAACAGGACTTCCGCGCTCGAGCCTTCCCGTGCGAGGAGGCACGAGCCGTTCGCGCACGGCCGCGTCGTGAGATCTGCACGGCGTGCGGGGCCTCCTGCACGGGAGGATTTTTTTGGCAAACGTCAGCGCAAAGCTGCCCCAAGGTGCACCTGACCAGTGCGCGAGGCTGGCCAGGGCTCCTGCACGGGAGGAGGAGGAGGAGAAGGAGGAGGAAGAGGACGGGAAGGAGGAGAAGGAGGAGGAGAAGGAGGCTTGACGCTTGACGCTCCAGGCGCGACAGTGCGCCCCCGCAGCCAGCGCAAGAAAAAGGAGAAGGAGGAGAAGGAGGAGGAGGAGGAGGAGGAGGAGGAGGAGGAGTGGAAGGAGGAGGAAGGTTGGATGGGGGCGGGGCGGAGCGGTCCCACCGTGGATTGCGCTGGGCTCCCCTCCGCCTCCGAACCCTCGAACCGTGGCCGCGATTCGAAGGAACGCTGGCAAGGTCCAGAACGGGCTTCACCCCAAGCGCAGGGCCCCCATTACAGAATCGATGCAGTGCGATCGTGTTTCTTCAGCACTCTTGGCCTTGAGCCCAAACCAACATTTGCAGGCGGTCTCGAGCATTGCCCATGCTGTAGATGCTCTCGTGTTCGCTGAACGGGTTTTCGTCTGGCGTGTCGTCGCATTCTGGCCGCCAAAATAGACCGCGCGCTGTCAATTCCAAATACTTGGATTCCGTCTTTAGAACTTAACGTAACATGGAATGCACTGTCTGATTTCCGTTTACAGCCAGTGCGAACTTCCTGGCATCGGACTGCTGGGCGCCGTGCCTCCTCCTCCTCCTCCTCCTCCTCCTCCTCCTCCTCCTCCTCCATCCCCCCCCAAGACGTAACTCGTGCGACTCCCGGCTGCTGCCCCACTCCCGGCGGGCCCCCGAGCGGTTGGTGGTGCCGTCAAGCTGCAAGAATATCTCCTGGCATCAGGAGGCGAGGAGGCGAAGGGGAAGCTGCGCAAGCAGGGCGACGACGACGACGACGACGACGACGACGACGACGACGACGACGACGACGACGACGACGACGACGGCGCGAGCTGGAGTCTTGCACGCTCCGCTGAGGAGCACGCCCGTGCCAGTCATGGAACTGCGTTGAGGCCGTAGCCTGCGGAAATGACTTCTGGGAGGTCTCCGACAGACAGATTGATAAAGAACAATTCAGCCCGATTAAAAAAGGCCATTGACCCAGAATACAGAAGGGGCGTTGACCTAAGGAACCCTACATAAGGAACGAGGCCTCATTTTCCCATAAGTTTAACTTCGATGTCCCATCGAAACCCTAAGCAAAACCAAAGGGGAACTGCAAAGCAACTAAGGAACACCGAGCCCCTCCCCAACGAACAGGGTTCCTTCCTGAGTGCCCCGACTGTAGGCCGGATGCCCGGCATGAAGCCAGGTGAAGCGTGACTGAGCCGTTCTAACCGGCACGAGGCTGGACTGAACGGGATGCAAACAGATTGGGTCCCTCCTCCGCCTCCACGCCGTCACGATCAGCACACAGCATCTGAACTTGAAGGAGCTGGCAGGCTTGCTTGGCAATAGCCATACTCCATAATTGTGCAAAGCCAGCGGACCTGGCTGGACTCTTCATACCTTCTGTAACACCTCACGGTGACGTTCCGACGCATGCGATCTGCCACATTCAGGCCGCTGGCATGCAAGCAGCTGGCGCCGAGACAACCAATGGCGCGCACACAAACATCCCAACTTGTGTATCAGCCAGTGCGTGAGCAAAGACTTCAAATGACGTTGCGAACACGCGCTGGAGATTCGTGCGTCATGGCGTGCAATCGCCGCCTGCGTGATCCATACACGTTGGCGGTGTCGTTTGACCTGCGGGCTAAAACGCGGCCTTTGATCACCCCGTCCGATGCTCGAGTTGAGTAGGGCGAACTACTCTGTCGGGGGTGCAGGCTCTGCTGATACGCGTGGTGCGGGTTTGCAGAAAGACCCGCGAAAGTGCCCCGGAGAAGCACTTCGTATCCACACTCATCCAGAACAGAGATAGGACCACAACGAAATCAGGCAGAGACGAGTCGAGGATCTCGGAGTCGGTGGGCACAAGTGGAGGGTATATCGGGACACGCGGCCGTGCGAGAGCGTTCTGGAACACTCCAGGAGAGTTCCAGAACGCTCTGGAACGATCCGTCCTCGCTCCAGGTCTGCCTGACGACCGCCTCAAACCCCACCCCTTCAGGAGCGCATTTGTTTGCTCGCACCAACAGCGGGCGTTAGGGGGGGCATAACGTAGCGCCTCCACCCCTCCCTCAGATTGTGGTGCCGGAAGCACTGCGGCAGTGCCGGGGACGCACTGAGTGGGGGAGCGTTACGTTATGGCAGGGGGAGGGGGGGGGGAGGGTAGGGGGCATAGCGCGCGTTGTGGCCCAGAGGGTTGCAAAAACAGTCTCCAGGTGTCCTTCCTGCCTCGCCGCAGCAAAACCCTGCACGACTCCGTGCCACCCGGATGAGTGCTCAGTGTTGGAGGCGCCCAGGGGGTCTCAGCTAGTTGGGCCCCAAGAAAATCGGTCAAGACGGGGGGGAAGGCAAATCCGGCCAACATCGATCCCTGGATTCCTCCCGAGGTCCATGTGGCGCAATGTTGCACCCTGGATCCGCTGCTGTTTGACCAAAACGGTGCGGTGACGGACGGACCGTGCGGTGACCTCGAAATCCCCCGAAACCTCACCGCACGGTCCGTCACCGCACGGTTTTGGGACCCTGGAGGCCCTTGTCGCCCGAGACATCCTCGGAGAGGGACTCGAGTCCCAAAACCGCGCGGTGACCCAGAATCCCCACCACACAATGGCCCCCGATGCTGACGGTCCCAGGCCCCCGAAAAAGGAGCCCCGGAGACCGCCAAGGGCGACAACAACAGAAATTCCCGAACCCAGAACCTCGAACCCCGCCCCCCCTTCCTTCTCGCAGGGAACCAGTGCTGGGCCACCTCACACCCCCAGCTTGCCATCGCTCGGACTTCCATTCTCCGTGCATTTTTCGGTTTTGCGCGTGGTTTTTGGCTCGATGGTCTATGATGCTCCTCGATTGCCCTCGCCGAGAAAAATTAGCCTGGCGAAGGACCCAACCATATGAAGTTGTGAATACAGAATTGTGATTATCTTCGGTGGCGCTCCCTATGGGGTCACGAAGCGCTGTACAAGGTGGGTGAAACGCAGGGAACAAGGGCCGTGTTGGGTGGTGGCGGACGCATGCGGGCTGTGCCACTGGGACGTTCGGTGGAGCCCCCCATGGGGCCACGATTCGCTGTATTGGGTGGGTGAAACGCAGGGAGCAAGGGCTGTGCTGGGTGGTGGCGGACGCATGCGGGCGGTGCCAGTGGGACCTTCGATGGAGCTCCCTATGGGGCCGTGAAGCGCTGTACTGGGTGGGTGAAACGCAGGGAGCAAGGGCTGTGCTGGGTGGTGGCGGACGCACGCGGGCGGTCTTGCCACTGGGACCTTCGGTGGAGCCCCCGAATGAGGCCACGAAGCGCTGTACTGGGTGGGTGAAACGCAGGGAGCAAGGGCTGTGCTGGGTGGTGGCGGACGCATGCGGGCGGTGCCAGTGGGACCTTCGGTGGGGCTCCGTATGGGGCCACGAAACGTTGTACTGGGTGGGTGAAACGCAGGGAGCAAGGGCTGTCCTGGGTGGTGGCGGACGCATGCGGGCGGTCTTGCCACTGGGACCTTCGGTGGACCCCCCTTATGGGGCCACGAAACAGTGTACTGGGTGGGTCAAAAACGCAGGGAGCAAGGGCTGTGCTGGGTGGTGGCGGACGCATGCGGGCGGTGCCAGTGGGACCTTCGGTGGAGCTCCCTTAATGGGGCCACGAAGCGCTGTACTGGGTGGGTGAAACGCAGGGAGCAAAGGCTGTGCTGGGTGGTGGCAAACGCATGCGGGCGGTCCACTGGGACCTTCGGTGGGGCCCCCTTATGGGGCCACGAAACGCTGTACTGGGTGGGTGAAACGCAGGGAGCAAGGGCTGTGCTGGGTGGTGGCAGACGCATGCGGGCGGTCCCACTGGGGGCTTGGGTGGAACACTCTATGTGCCACGAAACGCTGTGCTGGGTGGGTGAAACGCAGGGAAGAGGGAGAAAGGAGTTGGAGGGGGAAGAGGAGGAGAAGAGGAGCGGAACGCGGGGACCGTCTCTGCAAAGTGAGGACCCAACACCGCAGGCTGGTTGGGAACGAAAAAACGCCCCAGCGATGCCAAGCCAGCCGGCTTCGAACTCAGCAAACCCAGACCCGGATCGCTGCAGGGAGGCGGCGCCATGCTGCCGCTGTCCCTCGCCACTTCGTGTCTGAAAAGGTGGCGTTTTCGTGCACGCCGCCTGCCACCCTCCTGCGCGCTGCCATGGTAAGTACGCAATGCCCAAACGCCATGTTGTGCCCATCGGCCGGTGGCACCGAGACTCCTGCAGTCGCCACCCGCCGCCCTGCGACTTGCAAGCTCTGTCCGCCCCCAATCTTCGAGCATCGCATGAAACTCGCTCTGGGTTCCGTCTCTGGCAAAATAGTCGCGTACACAGTTTAGCGCAGGCAGGATCGGCGGGATGGCAGCAACGCTTCCCCACCTCCGCAGCCGTTTGCCTCAGAGGCCCCACAGAGGGCCGCGTTAGCAGCACACTGCGAAGTGTGCACCAACGTTGAGTCCAGGAAGAAGGTCACAGCGTGTGGCGCCACAGCGCGTGACATGCGCCGCTACGAGAAATGACGGGGGGGCGACCCCAATCCCAGACTTTGTGGGACTCTCGACCAGGCAAACGATTTGGGATCGACCTTGGGAATATCATACATACATACATGCATACATACCTATACGACCACCCTTCGGGTGATAAGGAGGTTCGGGGGGAGAGGAACCAACGTCTCACTCGATCGGTCTCACTATCGATCTCACGATCGATCTCACGATCGGTCTCCCTCGATCGATCTCCCTCGATCGATCGCACAATCAATCTCACTCGATATACTTCATTCGATCGATCTCACAATCGATCTGACTATCGATCTCACAATCGATCTCACTATCGATATCAGTATCGATCTCACAATCGGTCTCACGTTCGGTTTAACTATCGATCTCACTATCGATATCACAACCGATATCACAATTAAAGTCACCATCATCATCAACATCATCGTCATCAACATCATGATCGTCATCATCCGCATCATCGTGACACAAGAATTATCATCATCAGCATCACCACCTCATCACCATCATCATCAACATCATCATCGTCATCACCATCATCATTATTATCATCAACATCATCGGGACACCAGCATCGTGCCATCATCATCATCATCATCAGCATCATCATCAACGGGACACGATCAACATCATCATCGGAACACCATCCTCATCATCATTGTCATCTCAACATCATGATCATGAACAACATCCTCAAGATCATCATCATCATCATCATCGTCATCATCATCATCATCATCGGGACAACATCATCATCATCATCATCATCGTCATCATCATCATTAGCAACATCATCATCATCATTACATCATCGTCGGAACACCATCCTCATCGTCACCATCATCATCATCATCATCATCACCATCTGCATCATCAACATCATCGGGACACCATCATCATCATCAACATCAGCATCATCATCACCATCATTGCGCCACCATCATCAAAATCATCATCATCACCTCATCATCATCTTCATCAACAACACATCATCATCATCGGGATACCATCATCGTAATCATCATCATCATCGGGACACCATCATCATCACCATCATCATCAACAGCATCATCATCAACCTCATCAGCATCGGGACACCATCATCATCATCATCGTCATCATCATCATCATCTTCACCATCATCATCAAAACATATGATTATCATCAACATCATCATCATCGGGGCACCATCATCATCAGCATC